CATAATATATATATTTTAAGACACAGAGAAAGAAAGAAAAGCTGGTAGGTGATGAGGCATTTGGGTGAGAATATGCACTGTTAAAGTGACCACAAGATGATAAAAGATGAATACATGGGTACCAAAGTCCACCTGACTACTATTACAGGTGGTAGGGATGGTAAAAGGGAGGAGGAAGATTGCAGGTTCCAGGAACAAAAGGATCTGGGTCTTGAGAGAAGTGTCTGCCCCAGCCAGGAAACCATTAGTCTGATGTAGTCCCTAGTCCCTGACTATCCCCCTGTCCCCTCCCCCCATAGGCAGAGCTGACCCAGTCAGGAACCAAGACAATGCAGCGAGCAACACAGCTACAGCTCATGAACCAGTTGTCACCCAGTGGGAAGTGTTTCCTCCTTCCCCCACCCACACCCAGTCTCCAAGACAAAATGGGGACGGGGTCTCCACAGTTGCAGCATGAGGCCCCCAAGGCCAAGGAGTTGTTCTCGCAACAGCTAGCTGAGGCCACAACGGCACCCCGGCATATTCCACGACTCAAGGCTGTGGTTGAGAGCCAGGCCTTCAAGAACATCCTGGTGGATGAGATGGACATGATGCTGTCCCGTGCGGCCACCCTCATCCAAGCCAACTGGAGGCGCTACCGCCTCCGGCAAAAGCTGATCTCCCAGGTGACTGCAGCCAAAGCCATCCAGGAGGCTTGGCGGCGCTTCAGCATGAGACGCCTTCTCCGGTCTAGCAAGTCGATGGTGAGGAAAGTGACAAAGGAAGAGGGGGACATCCCTTACCATGCCCCCCAGCAGGTACGGTTCCAGCACCAGGAAGAAAACCACCTTTTATGCCAGCAAAAAATGCTAAACAAGGAGACACAGTTCCCTTCCTCTGGCTCTCTGGCCCCCAGTACCCCGCAGCCCCCAGAGCCAGCCCCACAGGCTCCTTCACATGGCTCTGGGGTGGCCTTCTTGCCGCACCAGACCGTGGCCATCAGATTTCCATGCCCAGTGAGTCTGGACGCAAAATGTGAACCATGCCTGCTGACCAGGACTGTCAGAAGTGCCTGCCTTGTTCATGTAGAGGGTGACACAGTGAAAACCAAGCATGTAACTACCAGAAGCTACAAAGCAGGGGCCGCAGAGCCACCACCATCGGGAAGGTATGGCCAAGTGGTTACTGGACCACTCAAGATCCAAACCCAGGCCCATGTGGAAACAGAGAACTTCAAAGCCCCCCTCCAGATATGTCCTGAACCCATGACTACCAAGACCCTGCCCCAGACATATCCGGTGGTCTCCACAACCAAGACCCCACTGCAGACATATTCGGTATCCACAACAACCAAGACCCCACCACAGACACATCCAGCACCCCTGATGACTAAGACCCCACCCAAGATGAGCCCAGTGCCCACAGTAACAATGACCAAGGCCCCAGCCCAGGTCTCAATAACCAAGACCCCAGCCCAGATGTATCCAGGGCCCACGATGACCAAGACCCAAGCCCAGGTGCGCCCAACAGTCTCAACAACTGGCGCTTCTCCGCAGTCACGCCCTGTAGCCATGATGGCTAAGATCCCACCCCAGGTATGCCTGTTGGCCTCAATGATGAAATCCCTGCCCCAGACACGTCACATAGCCACAATAACAAAGGCCTCACCCCAATCGGTGTCTATGACAACAAAGATCCCACCCCAGCTGCGTCTGGCGGCCACCACGGCCAAAACACTACCGCAAACAAGTCCAGGGCCTACCATAACCAAGACTTCATCCCAGACATGCCCAGTCACCTCGATAACCAAGACTCCACCCCAGATGCGCCTGGCAGCCATGTTAACCAAGACCCCAGCCCAGGTGGCGGCTGTGCTAAAGACACTGTGCCTATCCCCTCCAGCAGCCGGAACTCTAAAGGCTCCACCCCAAGCAGGACTAACAGCCAGAATTCTCAATACCTCATCCCCCATACATATGAATGTGCAAAAGGCCAAGGCCACCATGAATGTGAAGCAGGCCTCAGGGACAGTGAAAGTCTCCTACTTGGGTAATGGGAAGATCAAATGCTTCCCCCAGCCACATCCAGGAGCTGTGGCCCCCAAGGCTCCAGACAAGCCTCCGCTAGAAGCTGAGAGGGTCAAGACTGTTCTGCAGAAACAGCTGAAAACAGATACGGTATCTAAGACCAATGTGGCCATAGGAATGACCAGGCCCATGTCCTGGACTAAAGTTCCTGAGGAAGGAAACAAGGACCAATCGCAGGCACATCTGAGGATGGAGGTTGTTAAAGTCCAATCCCCAGGGTATGGGCCTGTAGAAATGGCGGTGACCCTACCCCAGGGACAGCTAGCCACCTCACTGACCAAGGTTTCATCCCAGGCGCCTCCACCTTGTGTGTCTCAGGGACAACCAGCCACCTCATTAACCAAGGCCTTGTCCCATGAACATCCACCCTACTTGTCTCAAGGACAGCCAATCATCTCACTGACTAAGATGTCATCCCCGGGACATCCACCCTGTGTGCCTCAGGGACAGTTGGTCACCTCACTGACCAAGACCTTGACCCATGAACATCCACCCACTGTGTCTCAGGGACAGCCTGTCATCTCACTGACCAAGGCTTCATCCCCTGGACATCCACCCTCTGTGTCTCAGGGACAGCCAGTCTTCTCTCTGACTAAGGCCTTGTCCCAGGTACATCCACCCTGTGTGTCTCAGGGACAGCTGGTCACCTCACTGACCAAGGCCTTGTCCCATGAACATCCACCCTGCTTGTCTCGGGGACAGCCAGCTACTTCACTGACCAAGACATCATCTCAGGGACATCCACCCAGTATGTCTCAGGGACAGCTGGTTAGCTCACTGACTAAGGCCTTGTCCCATGAACATCCACCCTGCCTGTCCCAGGGACAGCTGGCCACACCACTGATCAAGGCCTCATCCCAGGTGCATCTGTCCACCAAGGTGACCAAGGCCTCATCCCTGGCCCATCTTGTCACATGTCTGACCAAGGTGCATTCACAGTCACATCTGCCCACTGGGCTGATGAAGGCACAGTCCCAGGCCCGGCTAGTCACAGATGCAACCAAGTGCCTCTTCACAACTCACCAGGCTGCTGACCTTAGCAGCAAGACCCAATCCCAGCCACTACTGGCTGGGTCCAAGGCATCCACCCAGCCCTGCCAGCATCTCAGTGTCTTCAGCACTCTGCCCCAAGCCAAGCCAGAGGACAGACTGACCCAGCTCCAGCCCCAGAGCCATTTGCCGAGCAAGACCCCCCAGGGCCCACAGCCAGTGACCCCTGAGACACAAGGCATGCTGGTCCCTCTGCTGACATCAGCCGGACAGTCTACATGCAACGTTGAATCCTGGGGAGACAATGGAGCCACGAGGGCCCAGACATCGGTGCCCAACCAGCCTGTGCCCTGCCAAGAGGATGTGGCGGCTTCCCAACTGGCCTCCCTGTGCTCTGAGCTGGCCACTGTGTTGGCTTCCCAGGAGGATCTCCGTGCCCTGCTGGCCAAAGCCCTCTCTCAGGGGGAAGTCCGGGCAGCCCTAAACCAGGCCCTGTCCAAGGATGTCCTTGGTGCCACTGTGGCCAAGGCACTTCCCCAAGGGATGCTGGGCATGGTGCTGGTGAAGGCGCTATCCTGGGGTGAGATGGGCATTGCCCTGTCCCGAGCCCTGTCCCGGGGTGAGCTGCGGGCAGAACTCACTAAGGCCATGCAGGGCAAATTGGCCGAGGTCCTCAGTAAGGCACTGACAGAGGAGGAGAGAGCAACTCTGAGTCAGGCCTTGTGTCAGGGTGAGCTGGGTGCTGTCCTGAGCCAGTCTTTGTCACAGGTGGCCCTGAGGACTGGAGCCATTCTCCCCAAGTCTGCCTCAAAAACAGCGGGAATCGGGATGACTGTGATGCCAGCCCCATTGGCAGTGGACTGCAGGGGAAACCCGTCAGCTGCATGGGGGCCCTCCCTGGGCCCCATGAGAACACAGTCCAGCAAGGTCAGGGTTTCCCAGGTCGGGGCGTGGGAGGGCTTCACCATGGACCAGCCTGCCGGGCCTGTGGAGGAGATGGGTGATGGGGCCATGATATGGGGGCCACCCTACTTATCAGTAGTCTCTGTGGGAGCTTCGGTGACAGGTAGGGTGATCACAAGCATTAGCCAGTGTCCCCTGAGCACTGGCCTGGACCCCATGCTGCCTTGGGCGATGGGGCCTGGCAAGGACTTCTCAAACCTATACTTAGGCCCAAAACTCAGAAAGGAAAATACATGTCTCACGCTTGGGACTGGTGAATTGGCATCAGATCTCAAGCCTGAGAGGAGTAGGGAGGGCCCCAACTTGCCTAAGCAACCTCACCTGCAGCCGCCACCCAGTCTGTGGCAGCCACTCATTGCCAATGGTGTGGGTCCAAGCACAAGCCGGCCCTCGGTGGCCTACAGCACAGCCCCAAGCTCCCACAAGCCACAAACGGTCAGCAGGGTGGCCTCTCATCCATGGGCGTCGATGGAGGCAGGCAGGGAGGCCTTAGGCAGGCTTGTGGGCAGCGGGAACCGTGGGAGGGCTGCTCACGGTCACCAGCCATCCCTTGCCTGTGGAGGCACTACTTGTTGTTGTCAGTCCTTGAGGGTTAGCAAGGTGCTTCCCAGTGCCCAACCCTTAGGGACCCGAGTTCGGCCATCTAGGGCCTCTAAGGACAATGTGCAAAGGAGGATTCAGCCCCAAAATTACAAACAGGACTCCCTGGGTGCCAGGGAGGTGATGAACAAGGTGACCTCAAATGCATTGCGGGCCACCATGGTGAGCAAAGTGCAGTCACCAAAGACTCAGGCAGCCTGCCGTCTATTTCAACATTCCCCGGGCAGTGGGCTGCCACGAGTTTGTCCCCAGACATCCATCCCTGGACAACTAAGGAATACAACAAAGCATTCTGTTCCGGCCTTGCCCTGCTCTCAAGAGCTGGCCACTGACCGCCCAATGTCCATTCTCAGTGAGTTCATGGTCAGGCTGCCACAGGGTCCAGATGATAGCCTGGGCCAAAGCCTCTCCCAGGTCTCCATGAGCTATAGCCTGGATGAAAGCAACTCTCAGAGCCCCCTGGAAAGCTCCAGCTCCCTCAGTCCTTCCACCATGTCTGAGGCCAGCCTCATCACTGCTGACCTGATGGAGGACTGCTGGGAAGCCAATTTAGAAGGGGACCTCCAGCGGGCTCCCCTCCTCCCTCAGGAGACCACAGTGATACTCCAGAACTTTGAGGACACAGCAAAGACTGAGAGAGCTGGCCACAGATATCATACTCCAAACCTCCCTTACCAGCCTACCATAGCCTTGGAAAAAGTGCCAATTTCCCATCATAGCTCTGTGTCCAGCTGCTTCACCCTGAATGTTCACTGGGGCTCAGACAGCAAGATATTTTCCTCAGGCCAAAGCTCCCTAAATGTTGCTGAGAAAAAGTCTCAGACAACCTTCAAAACAAAACTGAGGAGGACTCTGTCTTTAGGGACTGTGGCTCTGCCTGTATGTCAGCAACCATTTGTGGCCAAGAGCTTAGCCCCAAGCCTGTCCCAGCCTACATTGGCCACTACAGTGGGCCCAAAGATAGGTCAGTCTTCAGGGGCCAGTACATTTATCTCCAGCCTATCTCAGCATACAGTGTCCAGTGAGGTGACCTCAGGCCCACCCCAACCATCTACAGTCAAAGGGGTGGCCCTCAGCCTAGACCAGCCATCAGCCACCAGTAAAACGGCCTTAAAGCAAGCACACCAATCTACGGCCAATGGTAAGGCCCCAGGGCTAGTCCAGCCATCAGTAGCTAATGAGGTGACTCCAGGGCTAGCCCAGCCATCTATGACCAAAAGCATTGCCCCAGGACTGGCCCAGCCATCAGTAGCTAGTGGGGCAAATCCAGGACCAGACCAACTATCTATGGCCAATGGGACGACCCCAGGGCCTGCCGAGCCATCTATGGTTAATGGGGCAGCCCCAGGAACAGCCCAGCAGCCTATGGCCACTGGCATTACCCCAGGGCCAACCCCACTGTCTCTGGTCAATGGGGTATCCTCAAGCCCAGCCCAGCCATCTATGACCTACAGGAGGTGTTCATACCTAGGATACTCATCAATAGCCAGTGGGGTGTCCCCAAGCATAGTCCTACCATCTGTGGCCAATGGGGTGTCACCAAGCCTAGCCAAACCATCTCAGACCATTAGAGTATCTCTAAACCCAGCCCAGCCATCTCAGGTTACCAGGGTATCCCCAGGCCTAGCCTACCCATTACGACCCAGTGGAGTGTCCCCAAGCCTAACCCACCCATTAGGACCCAGTGGAGTGCCCCTAAGCCTAGCCCAGCCATCTCAGGTTACTGGGATATCCCCAAGCCTAGCCCACCCATTAGGACCCAGTGGGATGTCTCCAAGGCTAGCCCAGCCATCTCAGGTTACTGGGGTGTCCCCAGGCC